CTTCCTAGGGCAAGTAACTTCTAAGTTGAAATATGAAGAGAGGGCCTTGAATCACAGGGTTAGTGCTCTGGGCAGGACTGTGCTTGCAGGAACCTGGAGGAAACCCTGTCCTCAGGCCCACATTTAGGTCAACAAATGTAGTTCAAATCTTTAGCAGGCAGAAACACCAAAGGTGGGACTCCTGGTACCGAGGCCCCTGGGAGCGGCCACTCTGCAGTAGGTGGAGTTTGGGTACCAGTGCTGAGTTCCCAAACTGCTGCTCACATCCTGGGACATTTAAAAAGGTGTGAACCCCTCTCACTTTGCTTCCTAAGCTCCTTCCTAAGCCCAGGTGTGTTCCTCACCTGTCTTCCCACTTTTGACAGATAGTTTTGCAGTGGGACCTGTGTAGAACTCGTAAGTTCCTTCCTTCATAAGTTCACTTACTAACTTACAAATATCCTTTGGGCAGCTACCCTATGCGAGACATTAAGAAGAGAGCAAGGTAGAAGGACCCCCGCCTGCACCTTCTGAACACAGGAGCAATGACAGTCTTTCAGCTGGAGTCCATCATTCACCCAGGCACCTGGAAACATCCGTTCCGAGCCTGTTGCTATGTATTTCGGAATTTTTCCTCTGAGGAGTGAGTGGAAGCCCAAAAATTGAGCACTACTGATTGAGCATAACCCTTTGACACTATTGTCGACAACCTTACTTTCTTTCTTTTCTTCTTATGAGGAAACTGAGGCACAAACACCCAACTTAGCCAGTCAATAAACTGCAAAACCAGCATTTGAATCAGGCACTCTGACCTCAGAGATGGCCAGCTTAAGCAGTACAGGAGGGACTTCATATGCCCACAGGTTGGAGGAGGTGCTAGAAAAAAGGCATCCCATCCAGAGATTGCTGGGAAGAGAGCAATTTTTTTGGTGGGCAGTTGCATTCAGAAGCCAAATTGCACAGCACCAAACAAGGAGGAAGAGGTGTCTGAGCACGTGGCAGGTGTCATGTCAGCCAGTGGTTCTGTCCTGACAGCAGCCAGTGAAGGGGAGGCCCGCCAGAGCCTGTTTGCTGCCTAAGGGGAAGGAGGCCTGAGCCAGAGCAGAAAGACCATGTGTGTGCATTGGAGAGGTGCAGAGACTATTTCCAGAGCACAGGAAAGCCATTCTCGAGGAGGAGGATCCCCCTTTTCCTGATCATAAGAAGGAAAGGTGGTATGTGGATTTGTACAGAAACTCTTAGGCAATAGATGTGGTGATAGGGCCCATTCCTCTCTGTCTTTCATTCCTCCCCCATTATGATGGGACAGGATTACTGTCCTGGAGCTGCCATGACAAATTTCCACAAACTGGGGGCTTAAAACAATAGAAATGTACTGGCTTAGATTTCTGGGGGTCAGAAGTCTGAAATCAAGGTGTCAGCAGGACTGGATCCTTCTGGAAGCTCCTAAGGGAGAATCTGCTCTGGGCCTCTTTCCCTAGTATCTCGTGGATGATTGCCATCTGGCAGTCCTCTATTTCTAGACACATCACTCCATCCTCTGCTTCCATCTTCACACGATCGTCTCCTCTGTGTGTATGTCTGTGTCCAAATCCCCCTTTTTTTATAAGATTCCTTGGATTAGGTCCCACTTTTACTCCAGGATGACCTCCTTTTAATTTGACTACATCTGCAAAAGACCTTAGTTCCAAATAAGGTCACATTCACAGGTGCTCGGAGTTAGGACTTGAAACATGTCTTTTTGGGGGACACAATTCAACCTACAACAGGGTACACAGAAATAGTGTATAGGGAAGTGCTCTGAAGGGTATAAATGTTATTATAATAGTAGAAGGTTATACCAGGCCCTCTCTGGTGGCACAATGGGTTAAAGCACAGCACTATGAAGCTAACCACAGCTAATGTAGCATGAATTCATTCCCTGGCTAGGGAGGTGACCCACATAGTGTGGCGGACTAATTTTGACCCACATGCTGCGCCCCTCAGCAGTGTATTTCAGTCAATCTGTCTGTTCTGCTCTCCACTCTGTCTTTGGTGAACCCTTTCATCCCCCACACCTCTGGCTTGTCCCCCAGTTCTGTATGCATAAATAAATCTTTAAAAACAATTACAACTTTATACCAAGGTAGTTGAATCCTAAAATTGAGTATGTGTCTGGAATACCCAGTCTCCTCCAGAATCTCTGTTTTGCCTTTAACCCCAGAGTTTCCAATCAAGGGCTTGCTGAAGGTAGTGTCCATCCCTGCCCAGCTCCTGGGAGACTCCTGGGAAGGTTTCAAGAACAAACACATGTTCCCCACCAGCCTTCTAGGGGCTTCTGAGAGATGGTACCTCCCTCTAGTCTCAGGCATTCTTTGGAATTGGGACTTACTCACAGTTAATTCTAATCATAAATCTAATTAGTCTTCCAACTTCTCTCCCCTTCTTCTACCTTCCTCCCACCCCCTAGATTTCTAGTTAATCCAGCTAAGAATAGAAGTCGGTCTCTCAGATGTGTCCTGAAGGCCTTAATGGATGATTTGGGCTCCGAAGTTGCTATAAGGGAAGTGATTCCCAGAAGTGGCAGCCATCTCGCAGGGGCAAGAGAGACTGTGCTTACCAGTGAGCTTGTCTAGAACCTGGGACTTTACGACAGCCAGTCTCCCCCTTCCTTGGAAGCTCGCCCCACATCAGACTAGCGGAGGGGGGCGGGCTTCTCTAGACTTTACCCTTGCCATTTTGGGTCATGAAGAGCTGCATTAAAACTATAGACCGCGGGCCCTCCCTGGTGGCGCAGCGGGTTAAAGCACTGCACTAAGAAACTAAAGCCACTTCCGCATGAGTTCGATTCCTCCGCCTGCCCCGGAGGCGACCACATGGCGAGGCAGACCTCTCCTGACCCGCCCGCTGCTCCCCTCAGCAGTGTTCTTCGTCGATCTGCCTGTTCTGCTTCCCGCTCTGTCTCTGGTGAATCCTCTCATCCTCCGCATCTCTGGCCTGTACCCCAGTTCTGTACGAATAAATAAATCTTAAAAAAAAAAAAAACAAAACTATAGACCGCTGTCCCAGAAAACTACACATAGGTTCACAAAAAGGTTCATATAATTTCAAAAAACTTTACTGTCACCTTCAAGCTTACTCATGAACCCAAGCCTAGTTAATAACCCCCAATTGAATATCCCTGGCCTGTTTTTCTGAAGAGAAAACCCGAGTTCAGCTAGGGTAATTGATTTGCTCCCACATTGTACAGCTATTTAAAGGGAAATCCAAAACTAAAGTGCCAATTCTGTCTGGTACTCTTGTTCTAAACACTATATTTAGGTTTTGTTTCCATTAAATAAAAGTGACTCCTCCCTTTAAAGAAGCAGACTTTAAAGCAAATTTTGCCTTTTGGAGGAGGAAAGGAAGTGGTATGGGTGGGAGTGACAATACCAGTAAAAACAGGCATCTGTGCCCCCCCAGTGTTTGTAAATGAGGTTCAGTCTTTCCAACGCTGACATGTGAACCCCACCCTAGGAGGAGGGTGGGGTCACTGAGAGCAATCCGCAGAGATTCCAGCTTTTAAGGCCCTCATCCTCCGGTCAGGACATAAGTGGTCTGTGTCCACAGAAGGTTGTAATGGAAGGCAGATGTTCCTGCACATGGAGCCTGATTGCAGATCCCCTCTGAGGGCCAAGGTTATTATTATAGCTCATTCATTTGCCTCCTCCTGAGGAGACTACTGGAAATGTGGAAGAGACACCTAGTAGGAAGAGCATCTTTCTTGTCAAAAAAGATAAATAGCTCCAGTGCAGACCCCCACCACTCTCTTACCCCTTCAGCAACACATCCCCTCCTCCTCCCAACATTCAAATCCCTCGGAGACCCTGGATACCAACTCGTCTCAAATGGGGCTGAGGGCACAGATCCTGGTTAACTGAAGTCTCAGAGGATTACAGTGGGAAATTCTCTATTGAAGAATTCCTGGGGTGGGGAAGTCTTTAGTGGAGATGTGTAAGTTTAGGGGACTCCCCTCTCCATTGTCTATGGGTTTTGTTTTGGAGTGCTCACATTAGGAGCCTCTGGATTGGGGCCAGGGTTTTGTTAAAAGGGGTCTCCACTAGCTTGGGGGTTGGCTGGCAGTGTGCCCAGGCGAGCGGGCTGAGAGTCCGGGCTGTTTCCCGCGGGGCCCCTAACTCAGCAATCCTCATCCTTGGCGCCTGGGCCTAGGGGACCAGGAGGGAGAGCTAGCGAGCGAGCGTGGTGTCCCCGCCTCCCAGGCGGGCCGGGGGCGGGGACCCCTCCCCTTCGCCCATCCTCTCGGGGGCGGCCGCCTGGGCGCTCGGAGGGACGACGGGGGGAGGGGAGCGAGAGAGGGAGACTGGCCGGCGGCGGCGGGTCTCTGGCCATGGCGGAGCGGGCGGCGGCCGCGGGGCCCCGGTGAGCCGGAGACCCGGGCGCGCGAGCTAGGCCGGACCGAGGCGGCCGCGGAGCCGGGCCTGAGCCGTCGGGGCCTGGCGAACACCGCCCTGGTTACTTTCCCCTCGGACTTGTGACCCTCTCTGGGGGGGCGGTGCGGGGCTCGGGGTGAGATCTCTCTCGGGGCCAAGAGAGGGAGCGACGAGCGGCGCGCGCGGGGCGGGGGGAGCATGCCCGGCTGGAGCCGGGCCTCGGGGCGCGCCCCGGCCGCCGTCCCCACCTCCGCCTCCTCCTCCTCCGTCTCCTCCTCCTCCTCCTCCTTTTCCAGTCCCGCCGCCGCCGCAGCCAACATGGCTGCGCTCCTGAGTCCGGGAGGCGGCTGCTGCTGATCGCCGCTGGCCGCCCGGGCCCCTAGCCCGCCCAGGCGCCGGCCC